AGTTGTCCAAAGAATGCTTCTGTAATTGAGTGAATGTTTCACGATTTCTGAAGACGAATAAAAACAATTTGAAATGAACAATTGCCATACGTTGGGCGCCTGAATCATTATTTCAAAGAGTCGACCAATGTCATTACGGCTTCCCATCCCGACTCGCCTCTTCTTTTGTACATCAAACAGCGTTTTTAGCTTTTTATTTCCTTCATCGAGTTATCTCAACGTTCTAAGGTCACATCTGACATAATGCATCTGCTTGAAAACAAAAAAACACAATCAGTTGGCCGATGCAGTTTGGGCATTAATGTGATTTCGTCGGAAAATCTCGCATTACTTTTTAAACTAAGTTTAATCATTTCAGCCTCGTTCTTGTGTTTTTACAGAGAAAACAACGAAGACGTTCGTAAAAACCGCCAAATAAAGAAATAAATAAACATTTCTTGACACAAAAAGCGAAAATAGATGCAAAATGATGAAAGTAATGTCATGGAATTTTCCATATCAAAAGCCTAATCATCAGTTAGCAATAAAAACAAAAGATTGATAGACGTAATGGTCAGAAGAATGACATTGAAAAAGATGAATAAATGGCTACCAAATAATAAAGTAACGCAGTTGACTTGAAACAAAAAGAGTAAAACAAATGAGAAGCGTTTCTGCAGTCAACTGCAACATCAACGAGCAAAGCATTTACCAGGCGGACAAGTACAGTTGATTAAGTACAAGCAGAGAATTACGTGAACTTTTTATCTTTATATGATTTGATAATAATTCATAGTTTCATGTACGTTTTTGACTTGATAAAAATCTACGGCAAGACATTTACATCACCAGAATATTTTTTTTTATGAAAATGCAATAAAAACTACGATGAATTAAAAAAAAAATGAAAAACTGAAATTTTATAATTTCATACTCAGAGTTAAGATTTTAAAAGATTGTCATATTACACGCAATATTAAAAACCAAAAACCACTTTGAGACTAAAAACGACTATTTCTCCTCACAAACAAAATGGAAGAAAACTTCATTTACCCTGAATGAAATGCCTAATATCTTATAATTATTTCAGAAAACTAAAAATAAATCGCAAATAGAATTAACAATTATTTCAGTATTTCTATTTATAAGTATATGCAAAAGTTTCCGACGAAAAGTGAATATCCAGGCTCTAGTTTATTGCACACACACACACACACATATATATATATATATAACAGTGAACATTGAAGGCGACAGGCTGTTTCATGCCAATCTGTAGCTTGACGCAACTATTAACTCCTACTCAATAACCTTTAGGATAATACAAAAGACCTTACTACCCATAATGCACCATTAACCAGCACATATAAATGGTCGAATCAAAACACAACAAATATGTCCTGAAAATTGCGTTCAAGCATGAAACAAACTGTCACCGCTCAGTGTTGACTTCAGCGACCACTTTTAGATTTACATTTAACGCTTTATTACGGATATTGAGCACTTTTACCCACAAACATAGCATACATTACACACACACACACACACACACACATACATACATACATACATATATATATATATATATATATATATATATATATATATATATATATATATATATAATGAAATGGACAAAATCTGACAAAAATGAATAAAAAAATAATGGATAAACATAAAAAATGTCGTAATATATATATATATATATATATATATATATATATATATACATCATCACTAAAATAACTTTAAACCTTTTTAGTGGGTGCTCATATCTGAGCAGACGCTGCTTTTGCTTATGTAACTGTATATTTATTTAATTTCGTCTACCAGCCTGAATATTATTAAAGAAAAGAGAGAAACCATTGTTTGATCCAACGAGCCTTAATAAATAAGAAAAAAATCATTAATTCTTAAGAAATTTACTTTGTTTACGTTTGGAAGCGAAACAGAGCAAATATGATAATTTCGACTAATCTATTTCACTTAAAGGCACTCGTCATGATCAAGAAAACTTTTCTGTGGTAGAGTCGGTTACGGCACATCGGATCTAACAACGATTACCCTCAGCCCAGACAGACGCTGGTTCGAATCCTGTCGCTAAAAACAACAACTTGATAACTTTTCAATTTCGTGTTTTCTACAGTGACAGAATTTGTCTTCTGTTAAATTTTTGATGAAGCTTAAATAAAAGCGACATTTTTCCAGTTGTTCCTTATTCTATCATTTGTATGAATAAAACAGAAAATCTTTATAATTTTAACTGTTCTTTCTGAGAATTTATTTACATCAAACAAATAGTTGACTAATTTATAGTGACTGCTTTTCGAGTTAGCCTAATTTTCAATGTAATCAGACACTTCTCTCTTTGAAGTCTGGCGCAACACAATCTTTTTTCCTAGCATTTTCTCCTGTGTCGAACCTCGCTATTCTTAGTAAATATCAGTACAAGCAAAATGCCGGAGAAAGCTGATTTGTTTTAATTAGAAATCTATTTACAGAACCCAAGCATTTTTTTATATATATTTTATAACTTAGTTTATCTCGGACGAAATATTTGTTTTACGCATTCAACTGTTTTCATTTCTGGGATGAAAATACATCCGAATTCCAAGTTAGAATGTCTATGAAGAATAGAAACTATTTGCAAATTTATAAAAGATGCTTTGATTTTTTTCTTTTTCGTTAAGAATATCATGGCGCCGACATTTTATCGCGAACAAGTTAAGAAGGAAAACTGGAAACTACACTGAGATGATGAAAAAGATAACAACACCAAAAACTGGATTCACTGTGAGTCAATTTAAGAATTGTAACGAGATTATAAAATAATCTTTTCATTGAGAATTTTTTCTGCAACCATAATTGCTGGAATCTAGACGCCCACATACCCGCTTGCTATCTGCCTGAAGTAAAACTGTTCGTAATAAAAAATATTGCTTATCTGAAAATACAAATAAAAATGTCAGCAGATATAGTATTGTCATAGTTCTCAAATGAGAAACCTTTTGCTTAAAACAACCATACAAGAGCCACAAGAATTAAAAGGCAAAATCAAAGAATGCTGTTCTCTTAAAAAGAATAAAAAACAAGACATAATGATTCACAAGAATATTTTGATTACATGGAAAACCTAGAATTATTTCGCTTATTAACAGAAAGACAATTAAATGAACATCTATTTTTTTGGTGGGGTGGGGATGTTGATTATTGTGTGTCTCTGTAGGGGTCATTCAGTAAGTAAGCACAAATTATAATATAAAGGAAAATAATGATATATTCAAGAGAACTGAAGAGAATGGCAGTAAATATTTTAAAATATTTGTTCAGCTTGAAAACTAAACTTTTATTCAGCAAAACCAGCCTAAATGCGGCATTGGAAGTGAATGCAGACCTGAAGTGTGACGTTCATGTTGGTTATCATGTCCACAGTGAGAGTCTTCAAGGAGTCCTTGTGGTTGGGGCCCGCTGGTTGTTCATTCTCTGAAAGATCTCCCAGATGTAGCAGTCCAGGAGATTCAAATCAGGAAGGCTAAGAGATCATATGTTGGGAATGAGATGATCGTGAAAACTCCAGCAGCCCACTCCCGGGCCAGGGTGGAACATGTTGACCAGCATGTGAAATATTTCGATGCAGGTGGGGACATCAACGTTTAGGGACACATTGTAGTGCCCTAAAACATGACTCACATTTCTCTCCAGAACGACCAGTGACAATGTGAATTTTTTCTACATCACTGAGTGTATTTCTATAGTGTCCGCCACCTATCGTCACGCCCATTGTAAGTAGCGAATTTCAAGAAGCTGTGCTTGGCGCTAAGTGCCACGCGTGCGGCGAGGTGCGTGCAAAATGAACCCCATTAATCATAAGAAAATGTTTTCGTTCAAAGGTGTTAGTATATATATATGATGATATTGGATGGTGGTTCTTAACTCTGGACTCCTTCCAGAGAACCAAATCACCGATTAAAATATTGTTCCCAATTAGAACAACAGAAGTCAAAATTTGATTCTTTCCGGAATTAATTTATAAAAAGCACGTAATATTCCAACAGCCTGGCGACAATTTACACAAGTTATTTGTTGACTAGGCAAAAATGATTAAATCTTGGCCACAAAATTCTCATTTATCTACCATATACTCATTTTTCGTGAAATAATTATTCTTTATAGAATATTTAGATTTAAAAAAAATAATTCCGTGAAAGATTGCAAAAACCGTTATTCACGGTAAAGGTAAAAATCGCTTTTCATTGAAAAGCTAAAAAAGAACAGATATTTTCTGAAAATGTTATGAAAAGGATGGACCTATGAAGTTCCCTGAAAGAGGCCAAAGATTGTGGAATAAAATGGCAAATCTATTGTTAAATAAACTAAATATCGAAAATAAAAATTTAAATTTTTTTAATTTTCACTTCATTTACCAATGAAACTTGTTTAACACATTTTATATAAAAATGTATGTTTCTGTAAACATATACACCTCATTATAGACCCATGATTCTTCATATAAAATCTTTTTCTTTCTATGTGTATCAATAAAACATTATGGCCGTATCACTGTGAGTAAAAAATATTTCTATATGTTCACGATGACATAACATTTGGAAGGTAATGGGGACTGACGAAGGCCATGGGCAGCGAAATCAAGAAATGGGGATTGACTAAGGCCATGGGCAGCGAGATCAAGTACGGGGGATTGACGAAACACATAGGAAGCGAAATAAACTAATGGGGATTGACGAAGGCGATGGGCAGCGATTTCAAGTAATCGGGACTGACGAAAGCCATAGGCAGCGAGATCAAGTAATGGGGATTGACGAAAGCCATAGGCAGCGAAATCAAGTAAAGGAGACTGACGAAGGCCATAGGAAGCGAAATCAACTAATGGGGATTAACGAAGGCCATGGGCAGCAAAATCAAGTAACGGGGATTGACCAAAGCTATGGGCAGCGAAATCAAGTAATGGAGACTGACGAAGGCCATGGGCAGTGAGATCAAGTAATAAGAATTTAGGAACACTATGTGGAGTTAAGCAAGTAATGGCGACCGACGAAGCCATGTGCAGTGAGATCAAGTAATGAGGATTGACAATGGCTATGGGCAACGAAATAAAGTAATGGGGACTGACGAAGTCTATGGGCAGAGAAATAAAGTAATGGGGACTGACGAAGGCCGTGGACAGTGAGAACAATTAATGTGCACTGACGAAGGCCATGTGCAGCGAAATCAAGTAATGGTGACATTCGAAGGCTATGGTCATCAAGACGAATTAATGGGAACAGACGAAGGCTATAGGCAGCGAAATCAAGTAATGGGGATTGACGAAGGCCATGGACAGCGAAACCAAACAATTTGAACTGACGAAGGCCATTGGCAGCGACTCGAGTAATCGGGCCTGATGAAGGCCATTGGCAGCGCAATTATGCAATGGGTACTGACGAAGTCTATGGGCAGCGAAATCAAGTAATGGGGACTGACGAGGGCCATGCGCAGCGAAATCATGTAATGGGGACTGACGAAGGCCATGATCAACGAGATCAAGTAATGGGGCCTGATGAGGGCCATGGGCAGCGATAGAGTGATAGACGCTGACTAAGATTATATGTGACGGATAAGGTGGTGCGTGTTAAAAAGATTAAGAGTAACGAGGGATTTAATAGGCGCTGATGAAATCTATTGATAAAATCTATTGCTGGTAAAGTAGATGATGGTCGGTGAGGAAGGGTATGAATAGCAAAGTAGATGGGCGCTGACGAAGGCGTTGTGCAGCGAAGATGATGATAGGCGCTGGCGTTAGGTTATAGATGGTGAGGAAATTGGTTAGAGAATCCATGGACGCTGATGAAAGCCATGGGTGACAAGCAAAGTGACGGGAGCTGACGAAGAGCATGGGCAGCGAATAATGTTATGAGGGCTGTCAAAGGCCAAGGTCAGTTAGAAAATGGATACAGACGAAAGCCGTGGGCAGTGAAAAAGATCATGAACACTGGACTCATTAAAACGAAAATCTTGACCCGCTTAGATCGAAACAATTTCATATTCTCTGTCTCTTTCTTCCCCTCTCTATCTCTATATTTACCCCTCTCCTTATCTCTGTCTCTGTCTCTTTCTCGATATATATATATATATATATATATATATATATATATATATATATATATATATATATATATCTTATTCCTGTACATTTATGTAACTTTCCTTTTCCTTTCTCTTGACTTTTCTGTTTTGTTTCATTTTTCCTTCTTTCTCTTTTACTATTTCGTTTTATTTCTTGATTTTCTTCTTTTTCCTTTTCTTCTTTCTTTTCCTATTATCATGATTCTACTTTTTTTTCTTTTCTTTATAACCTTTCTTTCTTAATTTCCAATCTTCCTTTGTTTCTCTTTCTCTTGCTTTCCTTCGCTCTCTACTCCTCATACTTCAAACATCTTCATGTTATCCCGAAAACAAACTGTGGCCTTACGATTTTCAGATGTTTTAATCTCCGTGTTTAGCCTTTTCATCTTATTGTTTGTTTTAAAATTCAATTTCTGGGTTTTGTAGATAAATCAAATGTTCTCAGTTGACAAAATTCTCTCCGCTTTCTAAGTTTCTGTTGCATGAAAAACGATAAAAATAAATTTTCTTTTTCTTTATTTTTTGTTGCCACTTTCTTCATCACCGCCTTCGACAATTTAGTGAGAATTCAGCTTCCCAAATAACGAATAGTTTTCTTCTTCTTCTTCCTGATTATTTGATTTCATCCTTTCCTTTTACTGAATTATTTTTATTGCTTTTCCATCCTTTAGTTTCTATTAAATTTTTCTCCTTACTTTCCTCCTTCAATTTTTTTTCCGACATATTTTCATGTTTCTGTTTCTTGTTTTAAACGAAGCTTAAGGCCTTCAGCATGGATTTTTATCGCATAATTCTGTGTACATTTGCCGCTCGACAGTTCTATGTGTGCTGTTTCAGCATCTTTTATTTGCCATCATTTTCTGTTTAAACTGATAAAAATACGAGGCTCGTCTCTACTTACTCACACTAGCGCCTCCTCTTGCATTGGTCTTCATACGGACACGCCTACACACATACACTCAAAAAAATATTAAGCGACTTTCTGGCACACGAGAGAGAGGGAGAGAAAGCTTTCCATGTTTCTTTTCTTTTACGCCCCCGCCCACCTCTTCCTTCTACCTGTTCTTCTCACTAACAGTTCATTTCCATTTACTTTCGTCGCGTAGTTCTGTGAGCACCAAATGCTTTCACAACAACCGTAAAACGAACACACAGCGGGATTTTTGTTTGTACATACCAAGCATTTCCGGCGTGCGCTGCCTTGTGGCTTAAAGCTAGTTGATCTGCTTGAATATCTGCAGACATGTGGATGAGGGAGGGATCCCTAGCTCCTCACCCTAACGACATTACTTTATGATCCAAAGAAATGGGAGAAACAGAAACAATTTTGCTTCCATTCTTGACACCTACCAGCCCCACATTGCCATCATTAACCGTGAGAAATATCTTTACACGAAACAGACACAATTTACAACAAGCATTTTTCCCAATGTCTTGAAGAGGCCATTGCGAAAATTGATAACTTAAAATCATTGTAATTTCATTAATTCTAAAACAGATTTTGACAATATTTCTATTCGGACTCCAGACATCATCATTTTTTTTTATCGTATTGTCATTGTGTCCTGTGGCCTTCATCGGTTTTTGTCATCTCGAACAACCTTTAACAGTCCAAATGTAAATAATGTAATAATGATAAGTCCTCATCCAAAAAATTTTGACATTTTTTTAATAATTTCTTTTAAATGATTTAATCGCATAAAACGAGAAACGTAGTCCTAGAAAATAGAAAATCTAAATTTCTGTTTTATGTTTACATTTGCAACTAAGCCAAGTAGCAAATATTTCAAAAGAAAAGATGTTTTATTAGTATATATAAATCATTTCATACTTCGTGATTTAATGCAATCTACCATTTCTGTCGCCGCTTCATAAAGTTTACGTGTTTCTTTATTGTTTGACAGAAAAAGAGCAAAGTTATAAATCGGTATATTTCATTATCAAGTCTACAACGTAAAGAATAGATAGCCAAGGGAATATTTCAGGGTGCTGATCTTATCTTTTATATTTCGGGGTTGCCCTTGAGTGGCATCTTTTTCTCTTTCTCTCTCTCTCGTCCCCCCCTCTCTCTTGATCGCTTTTTCTTTCTCTCAGATAATTTAATATTTTGAATATTTGAAAACTGCTAGTCATGCAACGAAAGATTTTAAACGTTAGCAATTAACTATCTTTGGCTTTTCATAAACATTTTGTTTATTTTTCTTCTTCTTGTCATTTTATGTGCCGTAGACGTAGGCGATAATTTCTCCCCACAACTTCCTATCCTCTAATCAATATTTACATTTTCACTATCCTTCTCATTACACGACCTGACAGTCATTTCTAAAAGCTACTTAGGCAAGTGACTTGGTGTTTCCCGCTTGCATTCCAAATGTCTTGTGAGTGTCAAATTCTCCAAACCCAATTCCTTCATGTTTACAAGAAATTTCAACTTTCTCTCTAAGTATAAGTATCCTTTTTTCCATTTTCTTTAAAATTTCCTCATTGCTGACAGGGTACTTGCAATATCGTTCTGTAGAACCGCATCACTTTCCTCCAGCCACTTCTTTATCTATGAGGAAATGGTTCAAAATCCACTGCCATGTTGGAGGATTAATATTACATTAATTTCATTTATGTCAGAAATTATTATTCCTGTCACTGTTAATGGATTTCAATTGTCTAACAATTCTTTATATTAAAAAGAACTTTTCGGTAGTTTTCAGGAATATTTTTAGCTTCTACCACTTGTAAAATATGTTTAAAAATTAATGACCGGCTCATGATATGAACAAATTAAGTAAATAATATTAACTGTCCATTATTACGCCTTCGATTATAACCAGCGATTAAAACTCATTGTAAATGTATTAAACAAATTACCTTTGGAATGCATTTGAGCATTGGACCCATTTTTTAAAATGAGTATCTCCATCTTTATCGTATTTAATGCAACATTTCGGTCGATATTTTCTTTAGCCTTCCTTAGATGTATTCGAAAGACAAACAAAAATAAATAAAAAAAAACAGTTCCCGGAAAATAATGGAACTATTTAATTTTAAAAACCAGTTTTTATTCCATTTAATTTTCATTTTGATGTTTAGTTACGATTCCGTAACGAATTCATTCCGAAAGCTGAATTTTCAGAAAAATTTTAATTACAATAAACTTAGCTTATTTTTTCTACATTTATGTGCTTAAATGCCATTGTCCACTTCAAAACATTTGCAACAATCCTATTTTCACATGAATCACGTGATGTTAATTGAATTGCGATATCAAAGTGTATTTCGTGATGAAAATTCTAATTAGAAGAGCTCCATTTTAATGATTCTTCCATCTTCCATCATATTAATCATAAAAGAGACTGACTTAGAAGGTTAATATGTCTCCCTCTACTTTCTCTCGCTCCTCAAATGATATCTGTAAAAATGATGGAACGGTGATTTTGCCCGAAGAAGCCAGAAACATACACCCGTTGACTCTGCTTATGATTCAATGTAAATATGCGTCGCCTGCTGTGTACACATTTTAGCCCGGTCGCCATTTTTATTGATCCCTTCGACTGTTTATTTGCGGAACTTTTAAGTTATGGTCTTTTCACTGTTCTTTTGATAATGAGTCCATTAATACTATCAGTCATATTTCTCTGTCCGCCGAAAGCATTGAAAGAATTTCGATAAAATTCTAATGAATCTTCTTGATTACGGATCTCATTGGACTTTTTCCATCAATGTTGACCATAACTTAGTTTTGAACTTGAATACAACTAAGCAAATCAAACGATTCTTCGTTTTATTTTTTCCTTATCTAAATGCCATTAAAGATGTCTATAGATTCATTGCTGACTGCGTTTATACAATGGGGCCAGACAGGTGCAATGACAATGCATTGTGTACAAGGTAAGATAATTTGCTGCAGTGTCTCATCAGGCTTGAATGTAAGCCAAAACTGACAAGCTGGAGAGTGGCGGGAAGTTACGTGATGGAAATTTTTGTAGAGAAGTTACAAATTGTTGTTAGCGATATATACAAAACCACTTCCATGCCTGTTATGACAACTTCTGGACCTGATGCACTAATTCCCCTAAGAAAATCACCTTCACTTTTCCCCAGTCCTTAAAAAGCCATGAAAAAAAAGTCATGTGGTTGTTTTACTCAGTTAGATAGGAAATAAAAATCACCGAACTTCTTTTTTTTTTTGTTCTGCCTTGTAGATGCGGTAGTTGCGTTTTTCTGTAAATGGTGTGTGTTTCAGCGAGGATTTACACATTTATAAAATTGGCGTAACAAGATCTTCCTCCCCAATGCGTTCAGATACTAATTATTTTTCTTTTTTAAATAAAATCACGCTGATTTTAAGTAAAAGTCCAGCAGTTAAATTTTGGATAAACTTTATTTTTAACCCTAACCCTTACGGTAAGAAATCTGGGGAAAACATTTTTTCCCGTTTATGCATTTGTTTTCTCTTTTTCTCTTTCTCTTTCCCTCTCTCTTTCTCTCTCTCTCTCTCTCTCTCTTTCTGTTTCCTTTACTTTCAAGATGTAGAGATCATGTCTGTCTACAAATTACCATTTTTTGTTACTTTTTGTAACACTTGAACTTTCGTGACCTCCATTTTCTCGTTGTCTTGCATGTTCTACCATCTTTTTTCTCAAAATTCTTAAGTAGTTTTCTCATTGTTTTCCCCTCGCTTCTATTGCCTTCAGTATTTCCTGTGAATATTAAATTCTCTAAGCATTCTTTCTTAATTATAAAACCTAAAACATTCAGCTGTCACTTTAATTGTTA